TCAGAGAGACTCATGCATATTTAGGAACCCTGGTGATGCCGTGAATAAATACTAGGCTGCTAACTGAAAGGTTGGCAGTTCTAACCCACCATCTGCTGTGTGGGAGAAAGATGTGGCAGTCTGGTTCCTCCAAGATGAAATCAAAAGCAGACTTGTTAACTGTACCGCCCTTGGGACTCTTAAAACAACAGTAGCAAATCAAATTTATCCAGGTGATGCCAATTCATAGCCACCCTATTGGTTGCTTGGAAACACTATGAAACACTGTACTCTGTCCTATAAATTCATCATGAGTTGGAATCAATTTGAGAGTAAAGGATCTTGAAAAGGAAAAAAAAAATAGTTTGGCTTCCAAGTAAGAGATGACAAAGTTGAGACTTTGTACATTGATAGTTAAGGCAATAAAAGCTACATTTTTGGTGAGTGAATGATGCTGAATCATGAGTAAGAGAAGAAGTCAAAGCTAACCTCATGCTTCTAGCTTGAGAAACTGAATGAAACACAGAGACAGAAGTCAGCCTGCAGAAAACATTTTGAGTTCCAAGATGGATCCCTGACAGTATAAGGAGGGGGTTAAGTGTTGGGCTGGTAAGCAAAAGGTCACTGACTTAACCCACTGGCCCCTCTTCTGGGAGAGAGATGTGGCAATGACCTCCTATGAAGATTTACACTTTTGTAAATCCAAATGGCCAATTCTACTCTTTCCTATAGGGTCACTGGAAGTCCAAATCCACTCCACAGCAGTGAATTGGGTTTGGCATGAGTTTCAAATGTCTTAGGAGGAGCTGGTGATAACTAGGCAATTGGGAGTATTAAATTTCCAAGGAGGTTAAGGCTAATAACACAAATACATGGGATAATGTAAGAATGTACCAGTAACATTTTCATATCACCAAAATACCACATAAGGAGCAGTTAAGTGGCAACAGTTAAGCACTCTGCTGTTAACCAAAATGTTGGCTGCTTAACAATATTATTAACAATGTTAAACTAGAAGGTTTTCTGCTCTCTGTGGAAAGAAGACCTGGCAGTCCTCTCCCCTAAAGATCACTGCAATAAAAACCCCAATGGAGTAGTTCCATTTTGTAAGGTTGGTTTTCATATTAGTTCACAGATGAATGTAAAGTTGCAGTAGGGAGCAGAGCAGAAGTAGGAAGGAATGCTGTAATTTCTTTCCTCAAGTAGGAGAAATATGTGCAATAACTCTTTGACAAGAGATTGGGATCAGAAATTCTAAAGAAGTATTTCTTTTGGAGTATTCTCTAGGAAAATTAGGATTCAATGTCATGTTAAGTATAGGAAGGCATTGGGCATGACAGTTCACCATTTATATTCAAATACTGTTATTAATGAGCAAAGCCTTGCACATATTAATTGCTTCACAAAAAATTAAACTCCACAAAACTCACTGCTGCGTTGATTTGACTCATAACTGACCTTTCATTAGGTTTCTGACACCATAAAGTAGGGCTGCTCGTGGATTTGAACTACCAACCTTATGGTTAGCAGTGCAATTATGTCACCAGGTTCCCTTTGTTGTTGTTAAGTGCAGTCAAGTTGAGTACAATTCATATGAACCATATGAAAAACAGAGCTGAACCCTGCCATTTTTTTTTATCATCTCTGGACTGGAAAAGATCGATATTTGTTCCCATTCCAAAGAAAGGTGACCCAACAGAGTGTGGAAATTATCGAACAATATCATTGATATCACATACAAGCAAGATTCTGCTGAAAATTATCCAAAAACGTGTGGAACAATATGTCAACAGAGAACTGCCAGATGTTCAGGCTAGATTTAGAAGAGGTTGTGGTACTAGGGATATTATAGCTAATGTTAGATGGATCTTAGTAGAAAGCAAAGAATACCAGAAGAATGTCTATCTGTGCTTCATTGACTATGCAAAGGCTTTTGACTGTGTGGATCACAATAAGCTGTGGCTGACTCTGAGAAGAATGGGAATCCCAGAACATTTGATTGTGCTAATGTGAAACTTATACTTGGACCAAGAGGCAGCTGTCAGAACAGAGCAAGGAGACACTACATGGTTCAAAATCAAGAAGGGGGTTCGTCAGGGATGTATTCTGTCTCCATACCTTTTCAATCTGTATGCAGAACAGATCATCCGAGATACTGGGCTATACAAAGAGGAATGTGGCATCAGGATTGGTGGAAGAATCATCAACAACCTGCATTATGCAGATGACACAACCCTGAAGCGCTTGCTGCAGAAGATCAAGGACTACCGCCTCTTATATGGACTGAAGCTCAACATCAAGAAAACAAAGATTCTCACCACTGGGCCAATTGGCAGCATCAGTATGGATGGTGAAGAGATTGAGATAGTTAACAGTTTTAATTTACTTGGCTCCACACTCAACACTCTTGGTAACAGCAGCCAGGAAATCAAGAGACGAATTGCATTGGGAAAGACGGCTGTGAGGGATTTCTCAAGAGTACTGAAAAACAACGATGTCAGACTGGAGACTAAGGTGCACCTGATCCGGGCTATAGTCTGCGCAATTACGTGCTATGCATCAGAGAGCTGGACAGTGAATAGGGTTGATAGAAAGGGAATTGATGCCTTTGAGCTGTGGTGCTGGAGAAGAGTGTTGAGCATACCATGGACTGCTAGGAGAACAAACAGGTTTGTCTTGGAGAGGGTGAAGCCAGAATGTTCCCTGGAGTCAAGGATTCTGAAGCTTCGTCTGACATCTTTTGGGCATGTTGCAAGGAGGGACTGGTCCTTGGAGAGGGACATCATGTTTGGCAGAGTGGAGGGGCGGCAAAGGAGAGGAAGACCTTTGAAGAGATGGATCGATTCTGTGACTGGAGAGGTGGGAATAAGTGCGTTTGAGGTGACTAGGTTGGCACAGGATAGAAGAGTGTATAGAGCTCTTGTACATAGGGTCACTATGAGTCACAAGCGACTCGATGGCACATAACAACAACAACTGATACACTTGAGTCCACAGTTACAGCCACTGTATCAATCTAGCTCAATGAGGGTCATCCTCTTTCTTGCCGACCCTCCACCTTTTCAAGGAATAGTTTCTACTGGCAACATGCCCAATCCTTGCCTCTATGGAACATCCTGGTTGCACTTTCTCCAAGACAACTATTTGCATTTTTGGCAGTCCATGGGACATTCAATAATCTTCTTCGACACAATTCAAGGGCATCACCTCTTCTCCTCTCATCCATATTCATTGTCCTGCTCTCTGATGCATAGCAGATTACTGAAAAGACCATGACACACCTTAGTCTTTAAGCTAACATCAGTGCTCTTCAGCACTTTGGAGAAGTCCCTGACAGCAGACTTTCTCAATGCAGTATGTCTTTTGATTTCTTGACTGTTGATTGTGGATTCAAGTAAGATGAAATAACTGACATTTGCAATCTTTTCTCCATCTAACACGGTGTTGCCTATTGGGCCAGTAGCAAGGATTTTTGTTTTCTTTATGTTGAGATGTAATGATACTGAAGTCCTTGATCTTCTGCTACAAGTGTTTTAAGTCTTCTTTACTTGCAGCAAGCAAGGCTTTGCCTCACTTGCATAAGGTAGGTTGTTGATGAGTCTTCTGATCCTGATACCACATTTTTCTTCCTATGGTCCATCTGTTGGAATGATTTGATCAGCATACAAATTGAATAGACCTGGAGAAAGGATACAATCCTGCTACACACCTTTTCTGATTTTAAATCATGTAGTGTTTCTAGCTTTTTCAATGATTTGTTCAGCATACAGACAGGGCTCCCTTTATTACCTGAAAAAACAAACAAAATCAAACTCATTGATTCCAGTTCATTATCACTCATAGCTCCATCAATTTAGGACAGATATTTTTATGGAGAAGACTGCTTTTATTTCGTTCTGAGCAGCTGGTGGATTCCAAGTGCTGACCTTAGATAACTCATTATATAGGGCTCCTTCACTACCTAGTTACTGCTACAAAGTGGATTCCGAGTCGTAACCATCCTCCATCAGTTTGAGAGGTTGTAAATCATTACGGGAGGAAATTGGCTTTCTTCCTTCCAGAGCACCTGGAGGATCTTAAACAAACAATTTATGGTTAGCAGCCTCACAAGTTACGCGTGGCACAAGGGTTTTCCTTTTTACCCGATTTAAAAAACGACAACAAAAGAAACACAACTTACTGCCGTGGAGTCGTAACCCACTCAAAACTGACACATAGTGAGTTTTGGGAGATTAAGTCTTAGGGCATGAGATTGCCTATCCCTCCAGTGAAGCCACTGGTGGATTCAAACTGCCAAATAGATGCCACCTTTGGGCAACCAGAACAACTCCCTACAGACTAAACTACCAGAGCTTCCACCACTACCACTACCACTACCACTACTACCAGTACTTCCACTACTACTGCACAAGAAGCATTGTAATTGGATTAGAAATTCCAGGATTGGGTAGGGACAGTTTCTCTTGACAATGGATGTGATTGGCCGTTTAATTGAAGCCATGGGGTGATTGGCTGCAGACGCAGACAGCCCTCTGTTATTGATTGGATGATACGGGGACAACCTCCCACCTTCTTCCGTTTTCCCACCGGGCCCTGTTGCTTGGCAACCAGTTTGCTTCCTCCAGCTATGTTTACACCTGCCTTTTTACACTTGTGAGAGGAGACACTTCTCGTTCTTGGCCTCACCCTTTCAAACCTGCTTTTCCGTTCCCACACCGATGCTCCACTCGTGAGGCCGCCCCACTTTGTCCAAGTTTGCTGTGTTTGGTACTAGGGTCTCAGTCCGTGAACGAGAAAGTGCCCAAGTGTTTCTTCTTGGAACTTTCCAAGCTCGCGCTGTTTAAGAGGAGTCTGTTATATCTCAAACATAGAAGCACAGTATTTTGAGAGACACGTGGTCCTGGGGATCAAGAAAGCAAGTAAACTTAAATCAGCTGGGTGTAGAGGGTAACCCTTACAGACCCATTAATTGCCCCGAGGTAAACCTTTTGAGTTTGGGTCCTAGTACTCCCTGCCTCACCATGAATTACGGCAGCACGTACTTCTTGCTGAAGAGAGACTACCAGGAGTTGATGGAGAACAATTATACGGTAAGTAAGAATTTTTAATCTTTTTAAAGCCGTTTACGTATAAAACATAATTTAATCCTATTGCCAGTTCAGTAATCCATAGGGAACTGTGTGCTTCGACCCTTCTGGTGATTGGAATCCAACAGCAGCTCCGCGGGAGAAAAGATTGGACAGTCTTTTCCTAAGAGATTAATAGCCTTAAAAACTGACTGCAGAGTCACCCACCTTGTGATGAAATCAGTTCATTGGTAGCGACTGATAAAAATCTATTTCATAATAAATTGTTGTTGTTGTGTACTTTCGAATTGGAACCTACACATTGCTGACCTAGCAGGTTTTCAATTGCCGTAAATCGCACAGGCCGTGGTTGATTGCCCATCTTTCTGCTGCGGAGCAGCTGATTCTCACCACTGGACCAATCAGTAGCATCAGGATGGACAGCGAAGAGATTGAGACTGTTCACAGCTTCAATTTGCTCGGCTCCACGGTCAACACTCTTGGCACCAGTAGCCAGGAAATAAAAAAAAGTATTGCGATGGGAAA